CTTGAGAACAGCTGCATGCTTTTAAAATAAAAGGGGCACTCTGGCAATCTTGTGCCACGAGTGCTTTGTACGACACAAACTTAAAAGGGGACGCGTTGAGCCCCACGAGGACAGGGAGAAGGGCCCCGAGCTTGGTCAGCAACGGAGAAGAGTTTTTTTGGGGGAGAAAGGGCACACGCAGGAGAAGGAAGGGTGGGTTTTGACTCCCCATCAGGGCAAGGGGACGTTGGGGTGAGGCGAGAGACTCGATTAGGCGAACCAACACAAAAATAAGTCTGAAACAACGGCGATTGATCCACCACGGTGGTACAAGCAAGCACAACGTATTCTTAAACTGATACACATTCTTACAACAACAACAAAACTCCGCGAACTGATTATAAAAAATAATATTCATTTCACCAAAACCCAGGCTGTTACGTAACGCCAGTGTGTTACACAATCTACGTGGCGTGTACTGACATTAATTAAGCGTATAGGGGTATTCAGGGAGGATAGGGCACTGGTTTGATTCGATTTCCCAGCGCGGAGGCTTTTGTCCACCAGCAGCTCGCGTGCGGTGGAGTAAAGTGTGGATCCTCCCACCTCTTCCCAGACATTTGGCTCGTGTGAAATGAGTCGGACAAAGTATGCTCTCTAAGCGCCGTCTAGAGCTCTCTCTCTCTCTGATGGAGGCCCCTTCCACCGTCTGTGGCGTGAGCGGGAAATTGAAGGTCTGCACCATTTTTACATATTTACCATTTACACGACATTTGGGTTACGACCTTTTAACGGGCGTCGATGTGAAATAAAAAAACAGCAAAATAATAGCGTGAGGTGTTGGAAGTGCAGTTCCCCGAGGCAGAGGTGTGGCAAAGAGCTGCAGACAGTGGATTCCTTTCAGGCAGCTGGCTGTGTTTTCAGGTCACTTGTTTTGATAGCTCTTGTGCTGTGCATATTCTAAATGCCTTACCCCACAAAAGTCTTCGCACAAAATGCACACTTATAAGACCGCACTGTATGTTCAGAGATCGCTTTGGTGGCGCGTATAAGACAGCGGAGGCGCGTGAGAGTGCATGGATTTGGTGGACTTGATTGTGACACATCGAATGGGATTTCAAAGGTATTGCAGCAGTTCGCAAACAGTGTTTGTAAAAAGAGGGAACGTTTATCCATTACTATTTTATTTTACAGTTGCTGTCACTTAGCTCTGTTGGTACACAAGCAGAAACTTGTCACATTCATTAACGCAACCTGATAAGAGACATATAAAGAGTACACCGACGTTTTGGGTCGTGGCTCGTTTTCTGAGCAGCTCGAGGGGCCGAAGTACCGACTGGTAATCTGAGATTGCATTTGCCCCTGTGAAAACTGGAAATGGTAACAATTAAAAGGTTTTGAAACGACATATGAATGTTTGTTTTCTTTAGCAGATGCTGTTTTTTGAGTAAGCCCTTTAAAAGTCAAATATATACAGCATACACAAACTCGTATGCATTTGAAGTTAAACGATTAAACTTCCCATGGTGTGAAACTGCATTCTGGGAAGCATCCTACAACGATTGCCAAGGGGGATTGCATTTGTGAAGTTGCACATTTTGACAGCCACTGCTTCGTCAAAGAATTGAAAAGCAATTTATACCAATAATCTTTTTAAAATAAACATTCACATAATTCACCCACACGGGGGGTGGGGGGGGGGGTAGAAAAAACTCATTCACAATTTAATTTCTGCAGAGGAGCGTTCCATTCATTTCAGCGAAGCAACATTCCACGGATGGGTCATTGTTGGGTTGGGATGGATGTTCTTTCCACACAGATGGATGGCACCTGCACCTCGTTGACTGATCTGCCCGTGACCTTTACTGAGAAGCAATAAGACAAGGGGGTGGGTGGGCACCACAATGTTGTCTCAGAGATCCTCCTCTTCGTGTCTCGGTTATTTCACTCTCCTGCTCTCACCATTACTGGACATATGTTCATAGCATTTTTTTTCACATAGCCATCCACTGGTGCCGGATGGGCCTACTTGCTTGGTCGCTTGCTGGTTGAAACGTTGACCGTGATGCTAGCCCCTTACCAACTCTAACTTTATCATAGGGATTCTGTTCGTCTAATTAGAGTTAACATGTATCTTAAATGCAGATAACTCGAGTTGCAATTTCTTGGTAAAGTGCCATGCATACAAATTTACACCAATACATTCATTACATGTACAAATTGTTTGGGGATAATGCATTGGCAGTGGTGAATAAGCACACATAAGTACACATAATCTCTTATAAGCACAACTATCCGATGATATATATAAGTACAGTATTTACTTTGAAGGCAGTGTTAGTTTTTTACAATTTACATCTACAGCCCTTTTGTGAATCCACTGTGGAATTATGGCCTCCCTTCACCGTTATTGTCCTGGGGGTTATTAAGCACCACCCGACACAGCCAATTAGTAAATTTTGTCATGTAAATAGAACATACTAATTACGCGACAAACCTTATTAATTGTCTGTGTCGGATGGTGGTGGGTTTAACGACACATTTAGATATTTACGCGATCTAACAAAAAAACCCCTGCATTATGATTGATATTGGCCGCGAAAGCCTTCGTGTTAAACATACACCACCATGCTAGTCAGTGTGGGTTGGTGAAGATGGTGTGCGTAGATGTCAGAGCACAGGAACAGTACAACAACTAACTTTGCTGTACTGCCCTCTGCAGCAGTCTATAACATCTATTTTATGCATGGTGGTGGCCCATCCAAGCACTCTCCAGGCTTAAGCCTGCTTAACCTCCGAGATCTGACAACATTGGGTGCACTCTTGAGTGATTTTGGTTATTGGCCCCGCCAGGAGTACACAATCACTACATAACGGGGGAACGTGACGTACGGAAGTTTGATATGAGACGCATTGTGAAGAATTAAGGTCTTAGCTCTGTGAATACGCGGTTTTCCAAAGATCCAGTCGCGGGGGTGCCTGCCCGTGACCCGTGACAGTGCCTGGTTTCCACATATGCCAGTCGCCAGACACGTGCATTGTGTAACCAATGCATTTATCATTTGAATGGTGAAGATTGGTGAATGTGGAAAAGGGGCGGGGGAGAGGGTTGGGGGGCGTGCCATGGTGGGGCATGGGGAATTGTTTTTGAAAGCTCTGATGGCAGCTGTTATCTCTTCAAAACAGCCAGGAATATGTGTTCTACTTTATTGTGTCCATTAAATTGTATTTCACCGGAGCTACACATTTGACCAGGCATATCATGTTCAGTCTGGACGGCTAACAAAAGTGAACAATTGAGATGTTTTGTGCATTTGTTTTTCCGTTTAACAAAATTGAGTTTCAAATCATCATCAGCCGTTGTTCTCATTCGCTGGTGAATTCATACTTCCCCACGCCATCGCCTTCTCTCTGGCTCATGATGCCACGATCCACTGTGCTTCTGCACCGTCAACTTACCTCGTTAATCCATCTCGACGATTGCCATCCTCTTGCGTGTATTCGACCCGTTAACTGCCATTTGCATTACCAGGCTTGTCCTGATTAGTATCCCGGACACTCAAGTCGGACATCAGTGACGAGTAGTGTCTCTGAACTGGTCCTCTGTCCTTGTTTCCACCAACCTTCACTGACCAGTGTGGCGAAGTATGGTTAAGCAATCCCCTGACTGATGTGGCATGGGTAGGCCTTCATCTTCATCAAGTTAACAGCTGTAAATCAAATCGTAAAATACGAAAATGAAAGCAACATTATTGTCCGGTTACTAACGTTTCCTTTGATAAAGAGATATTCTACCCACAAAAAGCTCTCATGTGGCGTTAAATGAAATATGTAGATTTGTAAAAAAAAGACATCAAAGGATCTTTCTGGAGTGTATTATAAGCGTTTGACCTACATCTTTCGCTGATTGTGTAATTTTCTCATTATTCTGCTTCTGCTATGCTCTGAAAGCACGAGTTCGCAATTTTACGTCAAGGGCGATGCATACATTAAGCAGCAATTAGATCAGATGTCGCCATGTCAGTGTTTTTTTTAAATGCCTCTGGAGATTGCTTTGTATCTACAGATGCTCAACATGGAGCTTCGTATGACAGCCCTAATCATTCACTCTGGTGGGAAATTTTTTCACCATAAAATTGCCTTTGTATGTATATTTTTAACTTAATGAAAAACATTTTCTGAGTTCGATAAATATTGTTTTCTTTTTGACGTGTGGAGCTTTTACTTTTGTATCTACGATTGATTTTATTTCCCAGGAATTTAGAGTCTCACATTGCCATTATTATCTAAAGCAGCATCAGGAAGTGGTGGTTCTCATTATAATGAACAGAAAACAAGGGAGTAGTGGCATAGTGGTTATTGCACTCCGCTATCAACTAAACAAATTGAAATCTATTCCTGGCCGTGACTAACCTCGGTGATGAGTAATATCTGAACCTGGTTCTGGATTCCTCACTTTGCCAACTTTCAGCAAGGTGTGGACAAACATCCCCTGTCACTGACGCCACGGGGAGGCTTTAATCCAGCAGGTGATTTACAGAGGGCTGAAATATATTTATTGTTGTGCATTTCCAACAAGTCTAGGATGTTCTTCGGAGCGGTTCTGTTGAGCTGAGCTTGCACATTTTTTTTTTACATTTTCAGAGCCTGACCTCTACTGTTCTTAACTGGTCTTTGGCAAGAGAGGTGCTGTCACCGTTTCAAATTTCTTTCATAACTTGGGCAAATAATTAGAGGGAGCAGTTGAAACGGCTTGCACTGTCATCTCCCTCGCACAATCGCCATGGCTGCCCAACAAATACAACAACTCACAAAATTAGCGCAATACCCTGTCCGTCATCATTATGCCCGTGTAGTTTGCTTGCATGTTCTAGCAATGTGACCTCTTGGCGAAGATGACTTAATTGGAACTTGGCGAGCCTCACGGAATGGTCGAACGTTCCGCTTGAATTTAAAGCGTTACCCCCGCGACTTGACGTTTGACTGTACCGAGCGCGCATCCGCCGGACGCTGCCCCGCAGGATGTACGTGAGGAGGGCGGCCGTGAAGACGGCTGCAGAGTGAACCGAGCAACGGGCACGATGAGCCGGCGGGGAGCGGGGGCTCCTGCCTCGGGCGCGGCGGGGGGCAAGCAGGCGTCCGAGCAGTGCTACGTGTGCGTGGTCCTTCCAAACGACGAGTACCTCACCCTATCCAGCACCGTGAGTACCGCACCCTCGCCACGTCCCCCTGGGTATCTCACCCTCAACACCACTGTCAGTAACCACGCCTTCGTCACCATCATGAGTAGCTCGCCCTCAACACCAAGGTGAGTACCCTCGTCGTCACCACCACCACCACTGTGTATACCGCACCACATTCCCCCTGAGTAACTCACCCTCACACCCGCCCCCCCCCCCACCGAGTACTTCACCCTCTAGCATCGAGAGCACCTCACGCTCACCACCATCATGAGTACCTCGCCCGCTCGACCCTCTGCCAGAGTACGTCACGCTCACCAACCGCCAGAGTACCTCACGCTCACCAACCACCGGAGTACCTCACACTCACCAACCGCCATAGTACCTCACGCTCACCAACCGCCAGAGTACCTCACGCTCACCAACCGCCAGAGTGCCTCACGCTCACCAACCGCCAGAGTACCTCACGCTCACCAACCGCCAGAGTACCTCACGCTCACCAACCGCCAGAGTGCCTCACGCTCACCAACCGCCAGAGTGCCTCACGCTCACCAACCGCCAGAGTACCTCACGCTCACCAACCGCCAGAGTGCCTCACGCTCACCAACCGCCAGAGTACCTCACGCTCACCAACCGCCAGAGTACCTCACGCTCACCAACCGCCAGAGTGCCTCACGCTCACCAACCGCCAGAGTACCTCACGCTCACCAACCGCCAGAGTACCTCACGCTCACCAACCGCCAGAGTGCCTCACGCTCACCAACCGCCAGAGTACCTCACGCTCACCAACCGCCAGAGTACCTCACGCTCACCAACCGCCAGAGTACCTCACGCTCACCAACCGCCAGAGTACCTCACGCTCACCAACCGCCAGAGTACCTCACCACCACCACCACTACCACCACGGGTGCCTCCGTCTCTCAGCCAGCGTGTATGTATGTGTGTGAGGCACGATGGCCATTTTCTCCAGTCAACATCGCACCATTGTTGTTGGCCCACAGCTGAAGACAACAGGACATGAGATATTTGTGGAGGTGTGCGACACCCTTCACGTAAAGGAGCCGCAGCTCTTTGGCCTCAGTGTCGTCGCAAGTACGGCAGCTCCCGTGCACACGTACACACGTACACTCGCACGCACACTCACTCGCATGCTTTCGGCTCGCGTGTGATCACGTAGCTAGCTCGGACACCTCGAGTAATGAGAATTCAGATGAGTCGTGGGTTGTGTTTGCGTGTGTACACACTGCGCGCGTGTGCGTGCGTGTGTATGTGTGTCGACTCGGCCTCAAAGGGGTACCTGGTGCAATGCGTAAACATCAATACAGAGGAGACAAAGGTGGTTGGGAATGGTGTTGGCCACGCTACTGCCTCGTGCACCATTGCTGGCCTTAATCGGGACCCGCGAACAGCACTTGTCCCAACAGTCTGTTCAGGCTTTAGCGGGATATTTATATTTTATGGACATACGAAAGAGTCAGGAACCGAGTCTTAGGCCAATTATGATATGTTCAGGAACTTACATCAAATGTATTATGCCTTTTAATAGCATTCTTTAAATAAGTCTTCCATGAGATATATCATAACTATATAAAACCCACACTGTCAAGCGAGGTTAAGTATGGTTAAACAACCCCCGTGGCCAGCGGTGTGAGGAGGCCTTCCTCCGGCATTGGATTGTCAGTGGCGTGTAAATTATTATCGTATTTTTTTTCAACATATAATTAAAAGTCTAAATTTATTGCACGTAATAAAATGCAAAAGGGACGCAGATACGTGTGCTCTATGATAACCGCTGAGACAAAAAAAACAAACCTAATCCCATGTGTGCCCGTTGCTCCTCGTTTTGAACCTCTTACACGCTTGTCGAACAATTTGCTCAAAAGTTTTGCACACTTCACTTTGATTCCGTAATTATTGAAGAACCTGCCCCCATCACACAGCCTTCCTCTCCCTTGAGGGCACTGTCAAAGGATTTAATTTCTGAAGACCACAGCTCGGTGCTCAAGCAGTGCTCACCCTCATTACGCCCGGAATTCCGCCCTTAATTAAAATCTAGGTGGGGGGGGGGCGGGGGGGCGAGAACAGAAAAAATATTATGCCACGATATTATCAGCCAGTGGGGGTTCCATAGCTCTGGGACCTGGCGTGAAATCATCTCCTTTCATTCCTCTCTCAAGTCAGCCTCACACTGAGCCTGGCCGTGTGGGAGGATGGCTTTTTCACATCTTAATAACTGTATTTGTGCACAAAAGCTTACCGTCTCAAATGTAATTATGCTTGGAGAGCGTTTGCCAAGATGTGAAGAATTTAATGGTCTTATTATATTTTTTGGCGCTTAAATCGCTACTTGGGGCATGTCTGTTCATGGCGGGATATTGCCGTGCAAATGAAGGTAAACTTACAGAATTTTTCTTAGAAATAAAAAAAAACTGTCATAGATCACAGTCGATAAGCAGGTCGCTTGCGGTGTGGTGCAGTCTGGATACTTATAACTGCAAAAATGTACGACCAGCATGGAAGAGTAGGCCATCTACCCTCGAGAGGGACTTCCTAGAGCTCCCTCTAATGGAGGTCCTTCTGGCAGCAGTGGCGTGAGTAAGCAATTGCAGGGCTGCGCCTTTGCCTTTTACAGAGTGCTAACGGTGCGAATATTTTAGTTGTCCTCTATTTTCCGCACTGTCATTCCAACACTGCACCTTTTTCTCTCATGAACAGACAACGAACACATATTTATGGATCTCGAACAAAAGTTGACAAAATACTGCCCGAAGGAATGGAAGAAGGAAAGCAGCCGCGTATGTATGACAGATCATGTAACATTGTGTAAAAAGACACACTCAAAGCAGTATAAAAGCCAGATTCAAATCAGCACGTGCTAGCTTGTGACGTACCCACAGCGCAGCCACTTGGCCCGTTCGTTCATGCATTCCGTGCAGAAAACGCAACTCTTAAATAAATTCCCATGCCACGCCATTGGCTGTTGGTGTGTGCGTGATTTTTTTATGCGTCCGTCTGCCAGTCCTTATCAATGGGCAACCCCTATAGGCCAGACATCGTCGACACTAAGTGCCGTATGAGTCTGGACATTTCAGTCACTGACGCAGTCTCACTTCTGAAAGTGTCAGTCCCAGTTTGAAAGGGGGAAAATGAAACATTCGAATGTATTATTACATTGAAGTATGTGTGAGGTTTTTTGTTGATAATGCTTCGTGGTTTTTTGTGTGTATATTTTTTTAGGGTGCTGATTTTGGACCCCCTCTGACCCTCTTTTTCAAAGTACAATTCTACGTCGAAAATGGGAAGCTGATCAGGTATATTATGACAATTGGATGGCTTAAATTATTTATCTTTGTCACATAGTAATGCATTATACAGTGTTAACAAATATCATATGTCACCACCACTGCAGTCATCGTCATTGTTAGTTTTACCGTTGTAATAATTTAATTTCATAATGTGCCTTCCCCTTGCAATGAATGCTTCCAAGTAAATGTCTATACACGACACTTTACACAGTATTATTCATTTTGAGTAAGGAAAACTATATTTCTGAATTGTCGGTGGACACGTCTTGCTGTTGTTCACATCCAGTTCGCAAGCACGCAGCTTCCGTTGGCTGTTTCTTAACCCCATGTCCATCGTGTCCCGCCTTATCGTTTCCCTGTTCTCCAAGTGACAAGACGACTCGCCACTACTACTACCTGCAAATGAGGAAGCAGGTGCTGTCGTCACGGTGCCCGCAGAATGAAGAGGCCTACTTTCTGCTGGCTGCGTACGCCCTGCAGGCCGACTTGGGAAACTACCATAAGAGCAAGCACGTCAGCGGCTACTTCCAGCCCAAGAATTACTTCCCGGAATGGGTACGTCATCCCGCGCGGTCTGAATTCCAGCGCAGTTTGGAATCGATTCCAAACAACCATAATTAATTCCTGCCCACACCTCCGATTTGCAAGGTTGGCTACGTACGGTGCAAAAGAAGTTCAACATACTAACTCATCTCAGCTGATCTTATAGGAAAATTATACAATACAGTGCGGTTTGGATGTATAGCTTCTAATTAGAGTAGCTACACCTCAAGACACTGTACAAACAGCGAGTTATATGCATTATGGGAAACTATCAGGTGATGTATACACGTATTTATGCAATGTACCGATCTGAGCCGAGCATTCAAACATGCATGCTTAATGGGTTAAATGAAGCTGCACTGCATCTCATATACCGTTGTATACAACAGTTGATATGTTTCACGTCAAGGTTGACGAGTGAGCCAGTGGACGGCTTCAGGAGTGGCCTGGTGAATAACTGAAATGCTGCCAGTGAAACTATCAAAGCGGGTAGTTGGCATTACTGTGTGGTCCATGGTATGAGACCGGTGACCACAGTCACACTGGGCTACTCTTCATTGTCCACTGTTGTACTAGATAGTCACATCAGCTGTGCGATGTTCTGGTGTGGTTCTATACAGACTATATTTTTGCGGAGTAAATTAAAACGGTGAGGTTTTTTTTCTGTGGGATTTGGTGATTCGGTTGATTCCAGTTCACTGTGCAGGCTTTCCGTTCCTAGTCCACCTGTAACACCGGAAGTGGCAGAGATGGATCTTCAAACATCCCAGAGGGGAGGGGGTCGGTCTAAAAATTTCAAGCTTAGAAAAAATTGCCCTACATTCATAATAATAAATCACCTGGCATAAATCAATAAAATTGTAATTTTCGGTGTCTCAAGGGGATACGATCGATTACCATTGCCGCTGCCCTTGTGTCCGCCACTGTCAAGCGGTGCCGCGGTTTGACGTTTGCGGCCTCTGTAAACGCCGCTGTCGGTGGCACGGCGACGCCCGCGACGACGACGATGACGACGGCGGTGGCTGCGGCGGCGATGTTGTTGCAGGTGGTGCGGAAGCGCGGCATGGAGTACCTGCTGCGGCACGTGCCCGGGGTTCACCGTGAGCAGACGGGGATCTCGCCCGAGGAGGCCGAGCTGCGCTTCGTCCGCGAGGCGTCGCGCCTCGCGGACGTCGCGGTGCACTACTACCGCCTCCAGCGGGTGAGGGGTGGCACGGCACGGCACGGCACGCCCCGCCAGCCCCGCCAGCAGCGGGGGACGGGCTCCACTGTGGTTCGAAAGATTGGTGGTGGGGGGGGGGGGGGAATGACAACGACAACACTCATAATAATCACTGCACCTGATATGAGTTAAGTGATGACGTCACCCTGCTGCTCTATATAAAACCGGGAGCAAGCGAGGGCTTTACCATTCTGGCGAATTGCCCGATGATGCTGGATGTATTTACCAGCGAAGCGTCGTACTCAAACTGTAAATGTGGATTCACTCTTCAAAACACCGGTGGGCTATAGTAGTGAATTATTTGTCTTTTGTCAACGTGACACTTTTTTTGCTGATTGGCCGTGTCGGATGGTGGAGGGTTACGACACATTTATAAATAAACGCGATCTAACCCAAAAACCTTTATCATGAATAATATTGGTCGCGAAAGCCTACGTGTTAAACGACAACACTACCACCACGTGAAATGCACATCGAAAGATAAAAAAAAAACGGCCTGTATTTTTTTTATCGTCGTGCGCCATGTTCTATCAACTGCTGGATGAAAGCCTTCCTAGGCTGCGCCGTCTGTCATGGTGCTGCGAGGCAGCAATCCATTTGGCACCTGCGCACGAGCCGGTTTCATAGTTCTGTCCCCACACTTAATTTATTCTTGGCGTAGTATCACAGATTCAATGAAGAAGGTTTTTTTAGCGATCATAATTTTAGAGCCTTATGTCAATTCACTGCTGGGTGAAGGCCACTTCATCCAGCAACTTGTCAGCTGTGGTCGTTGTTTAATCACAATTTTGCCATGCTGCAGGTTAGTGAAGGAGGGGCCACAGGACCAGTTCAGATATCATTTCAGATTTTTGTGAGTCCTAGCTGAGAGCTAAACTCCGGATGCCCGTTCAGAGTGCAGCGTGCTAACCGCTGTGCCACCGGTCCATCACCTAATATCTTTCGTGCATATTAATTTCTATAAACGGTAATTATTATTTCAACATATTGAGCAATTGTAAAATATGCAGCAAATCAATATCCATCAAATACACCTACTAGTTTTGTAATATATTACCATAATAAATCCATATATTCGTTGCAATCAAATTACGGTTGCCTAAATGATAGCGTACTATTTTATGAGTACTGCTAGAACCTTTACCCCCAAAATTCCAAAATTCAAGGGAAATCCATTTCAGTAAAAAGGAATGCTCCACGTTGGGTTTTGCAGAGCACCTCCGACAGGTCCCAGCCGTTCCATCTCATCCATCGGCATGTGCACAGTCCACCGATGGAATTAAATCCTGTGGAATGAAAGACTTCCTCGAGTTCCCCTACTCACTTCTCCTGCAATAAATCAGGGTGCCGTTAACCGTAGGAATGTCAATAATGTGCTGCACCAATGCCGCTAAGCCTTTGAGATGGGTTAAGAACGGATAAGTAATCGGCGGTCTTTTTAAGTTAACCCCCATGACCCTACGCCTCCCCCCCCCCCAACCCAACTTTTCCTTCCACAGCCCTCCCGCAAACTATCTCCCAACGAGAGGCGAGGATGCCCTCTTGGCAGTATGCTGCCAACATTGTGCCCCAATGTTATCGTAACATTTTCCGAACGCTGCGTTTAATAATCAGAAATGTTTACCAAACCTCCTCCCTAAATTTGTATCTTCGAGTAACTCCCCAAAAGAATGTGGGTAAAAAAAAATGCCGAAAATTTCTGACACTCTAACAGAACTCCCATACGCATTTTACACGTCTCTTGTAATTCATGCCCTGGTCACATCAGTTTTTTTTTTCAGAGGTAGCCAAATAAATGAAAAAGATGAAGAAAAAGAAGATATTTGTAATTGCTCTGACGTTTGCGTTACCCTGGGGTTTTACATTTGACATTTTCAGTTTTATAGTCTCCTGGCTCAACTCCTAAACATTATCCATCGTCACATTCTTTTGCAGAATAAGAAAGAGTCTGAAGCCTCATTGTTGCTGGGGGTGATGCTGAAAGGAATTCAGATTTTTCAGGTGAGTGCAGGTACACATCATGATGAGTTGTGTAAATCGAGAACTTGACTGTATTCTATTAGAGATAATGTACGTTGAACTTCTTTCACACCGTACGTGGCCAACCGTGCTAATCGGAGGTGCGGGGGAAGGACAACAAAAATACAATTATCAAGCTTTGATATCAAGGATAATTAACTATTTTCAGTGTCATTATGATGTAGGTATTATACTGCAATAAATACAGTGTATTTTCTTAAACCTGGTTCACACTTAGATTGTTTTTCTGTTGGTGATGGTGCTAAGTGTTAAACATCTTGAATCATGTGTAATTAAGTGATTATTTAGTTATGCCAACTTTAAATGTTGTATTTAAACTATTTTGTTTGAAATTTACACGTTTCTGTTTGGTACGGTGGTTCACGTTAGCCTCATTCATATTTAAAAAAAATGTATTTTAATAATTTTGTTAACACTTTCCAACATCATTAAATTCGCGCCAATAACACTTTCTGGGTTGTATCCTCCAAGTTGTACCCGTTCATTATCCTGCTAAAGTATCGATGCGTTGTGAGGTCATCGAAAATAAACAGAGTGGAGATTAGCTGCGGTTCTTCGCAAACTGCACAATGAACCCAGGGTTCCAAGTTCGATTCCTGGCCCCATCATCAACCCACACTGACTAGCATCCATCGTGAAGTGAGAATGGCAGTCATTTATATATTTTTGAACTTGTGATGGGGGCCAGTAATCGCAGCTGTCACAGGTTATCGTGACATGCTTTCTGTCCTGTCTCATCATTGGCTCACTTTTAGAACCGTGCCAAGAGACTTGTTCCAGCAGAATGTCAGGAAGAAATGACACCGCTGCAAAGAACTTGAAATCACTGCACTCTGTTCCTTCTTTTGTCTGGAAGAAACTGAATGTTCCACTTAAGATACCTGTGTGTGTGCGTGTGTATTCCTTGTTGTGTGCCTAGGAGGCTGGAGAAACCAGACACTTACTTTATGACTTTCCCTGGTTCAATGTCGGAAAGTTAACATTTCTGGTAAGTGGAAATAAGACGACGTTATGCAGTATGTGTACAAAATATTTATATAAAAGTCTGCATAGCTGTAAATGTTTGCAGCCTTGGTCAGCTGGTGGAATTGTGCAGCCCCTTCCTTTTCTTGTGAGACAAATGCAGGTTTTCAGGGAATGAGCGCCTTATATATATTGAAATCAGGAATGAACAATGCCTGACAAATATATTTGTTGGAGGTAGCCAGGTGTCTATGGGGGCTAATAACATGTTGGAGCACTGAACTTGTGTAAATGAATATTACTTCCCACATATATTCGTTCCGGAGTGAACAGATAGTCTGCAGGAAAATATCCACTCCTGACACCCAACACTGCTGTTTGTGATCCAGGGTTCATATGTGGGCTGTCAGGGGGGAAACAATTGAAGGACCACTTTTATGAATAAAACAATGCATTAGGTAACATCAAGGTTGTAAATCAACAACTGTGCAGCTTGGTATAAACAAGTCGTGAATTATTCATTTATCAATAAATTGGGCATTAGGTGCTTGAAAAAATAAATACAAGAGTTGGAATGTTGGCTTTTAGATTTAAAAAAAATGTTCTCTTAAAAGCCTTGTGGTGTAATTCAGTAAATCTCATATCAGTAACAAATCAAAGAGCCTGCCTTATTTACAACACGTTCTTGACATTCTTGAGGTTTACAAAGCAAAATAAGAATTGACATAGCAGGCTGGCAGGAAGAGCTAAACAATAAATCCTGTTGGGTTACTTTTAGCAGAGTGGAAACGTATATGTCTGGAAGTAATTAATCAAATATTACCGCGAAAGCCCCTTTTTCTTGCCTAACAGGTTATGTCAAATGTACACAGCACTGTGTGAGTGTTCTCAGAGGCTTATTTGGTTTAAAAAAATCTATGTAAAGGAAGCCTCGTAACATTTTTTTTTCAAAACAGAGAGACCTAACGCTGGCTGGCGGTGCAGATAGCTTGGTAGCAAAGACACTTTTAGACCGATGCTTTCACAAAACTGCCAAGAAAGAAACACAGTCAGCGTTATTGCACCACTCAGTGCCAGTTGAGTTATGAATCGGGTAGGTTTTGTTTTCACACTTGATCAAATACCTTCAGGATTTTATTGGATTAATTCGTGGTACATTGGCACTGCAAGCGGCCGTAATATTCTAATGCTGATGAAGCCGTGGAGATGATAAAAAGGTTGAACCTGGCCCAGGGTTTGGTCCAGTTGGTCACGAGGCTCATGGCCATTCTTGAAACATTTTACGTGAAAAGATGGTCTTCCTCTGTGTTCCTCATTTTATAACGGTTCTGTAATAATAATAATATAATGCACGACTTACCTGTGCTATAAGGGGAGTTGGAAGGTGATGTATGATTCACCACGGCAGATGTTGTCAATTGGCTCTGGTAGTGTGTACTTGTGCGTATACAAGAAAGGTCCGGTCAAAAAGGTTCGCAGAATTACTACGCACGGTTTTGCGTTCATACTCTATAATGTTCCTATGTTTTCGGGTCATGCTGTGCGGTGTTTGGCACGATTTCTGACTTTTCACCCCATGTGCTGGGAGCCTCTTCAGGAACTGAATTAATGCCCTGTTCCTGAAGAAGGGTTGGTGAAGGCAGGGAGCAAAGATGTTGGAGCATTGTAGAGTCCAGTGGATTTCGCTACTCTACTGACCTCCGTTGACAACGTAGCTCCTCGGCAGCCTCCAACACTTGTTTTATGTGTGGCGGTCACCCACCTGTTCATCCGAGGACTGTCCAGGTTCAAACTTGCTTAGCTTCCGAGATCTTGACGCGATGGGACGCGTTAGGAAAACGAGAGCTAAAAATGAAATGACAGTCATGATTGTGGTCTTGGCGGTGTTGGTGATGTTGCGCTTTGTTCACGCCGCGATTTTGTCCAGGGTAAGAAGTTTGAACTGGAGCCGGACGGGTTGCCTTCTGCCCGCAAGCTCACCTACTACACGGGCTGCCCGACACGCTCGCGTCATCTCTTGCGGCTGCTGAGCGAGACGCACCGCCTCTTCCTGAGTACCCAGCAGCGCCTGCTCAAGCTGCAGCGCCTGGAAGACAAGGAGGGTGAGTGAGCGCAGGAGGGGCAAAGTGGCAGGCGCCCATCGTGTGCAAAGCCAATAAATACCGAGAGAGCCATGAGCATATTAGAATAGATGTTTTACTCTTTCTGGCAATGAAACCCGTTGTGTTAAGATGTTAAAACACTAAACAGAAACCTTTCGCCAGGAATCGTGCCCGCATTAACCACACGTACTTGTGGTGAACATGCGAAAAAAAAACATTCTCTGATCATATATAGCATTGTCTTTGAAACTCATTGGCCTACACCAGAGACGGCCTTCTAGAGACATGAGCGTCCGCCCATTGTCTGTTTTGGCTGAGAAGTCGGAGAAAAGCTGTGCATGTGATCTTATTATGGGGCACATGGAAGGGGAGATTCGAAAGGACAAACTGTTCACAGTGACCTTGGACTACGTTCGGTCTATAAAAATACTTGTCATAGCACAAGATGTGTGTGTGTGCGTGTTTTTCCCTCCATCGGTATTTACAATGATAGCGCTCCTTTGCCCAGCAAAGTCTAACTGAGTGTCAAGACTTTTTCAGGAGAGTCCTGAATCGGAATATCTGGCCTATGGCATGTGACAGGAAACCAGAATGCCGGGAGAAAACCCACAAAGCTCCACACAGATGCATTTAAGAATGTACATTTGCTTTATGATCATTTTCTGGCCAAATCTGGAGTGCCATGTTCAGTGTTCTGTAGTATATATATTTAAAAATTATAATTTGCTAGTTGGCACAGATAATCAATGCAGGGTGGTCCAGATCAAATTATAAGATTTTAAATGTGTTAATTGTGGCAAACAATGTGGAATCCTTGTGATGGTTTGGTGAGAAGCTTTGATCAGCCTAGGCCCTGGTGGTTATTGGATCATATATAATTGTCACTATTACAATTTATATTTTATAACTGTGATAATCCTTCTTCAATCCACTGCTGGATTAAGTCCTCCCTTTGCGGTGTTGATCATTGGGGTTATTTGACCATACTTCACCATGCCGATCAAGTTGGTGATGGGGGGTGCAGGAACATTTCAGATATCACTCACCACTGATGTTATATCACTCACTACTGATGTTATATCACTCACTACTGATGATACATCACTCACTACTGATGATACATCACTCACCACTGATGTTATATCACTCACCGCTGATGTTATATCACTCACCACTGATGATACATCACTCACTACTGATGATACATCACTCACGACTGATGATACATCACTCACCACTGATGATACATCACTCACTACTGATGATACATCACTCACCACTGATGGTACATCACTCACCACTGATGTTATATCACTCACCGCTGATGTTATATCACTTACCGCTGATGATACATCACTCACTACTGATGATACATCACTCACCAATGATGATACATCACTCACCACTGATGTTATATCACTCACCACTGATGTTATATCATTCACCACTTATGATATATCACTCACCACTGATGATACATCACTCACCACTGATGATACATCACTCACCACTGATGATACATCACTCACCACTGATGATACATCACTCACCACTGATGATACATCACTCACCACTGATGTTATATCACTCACTACTGATGTTATCTATAGCTGGGAATCAAACTCAGGTTGCCAGGTTTATACAGTGCAGTGTGCTAGTCACTGCTCCACCACTCACCTGATTTCCCCTAGCCACGATGCAAATCCACATTACACTGGCAAAGTTAAATGCCACTGTTTTTATTCTAATGTGTTATTTAGTTATACAAGTTTTAACTAAACCTGCGCATTTCACTCATGATTGTACGCATTTGTTTTATCGTGTATTAAATTATGCACCGTCACTGTGTTCACGTATTTTATTAAAATAGATTGCATTTGTATCAGTAATTAGCATTTTTGTGGAGTAGTTTCCATTGTAATTTCTGTCGTGTATGCTAATGTGTACACATTTGTTAATCTGGTTTGACCCGTTTGGGACTTTTCTTTGCTGTGCTACTGACGGATCTTTTTAAAGCAGGGCTGTTGTATGAAAAGCTGACTAATTGTTTAATGTCAATATTGTCCTTTCGCCAGGTATGCATTTTCACTTGGGCTTGGCACAAAGATAAAATCATCATTGTTTAGTTACTGAATTTGACATTAAATATTATCCACAAGAGAAAAATGCTCTGAGCGGATTGTAAATATCTTTTGCAAAGGATAATGTATTTCGATTTTTAAACTTAAGTTAAAGTTAATGGATTCTAAATGCTATAAATCAGGGGTTCCCAACCCCCGGTCCGTGGCCGCACAGCAACAGGAGGTGAGAGCGGTGAGTCCACGCGTGGCCCGCCCCCATTATTTTATTATTTACCACTTCCATCCGCGCCTCTTTCCCGCACTGCGCGCTTGTCTCAGTCACAGTGTTGGTAAACCCACAAGCTAACCCCTAGTAGCCAAAATGAGTAAAAAAACCAACGTCACTGGAGAGCTTCTTTGAAAAGGGGGAAAGACCCAATGATGACCCCCCCCCCCCGGTCCGTGAAAAAAAGTGTCTTCCACGAAACCGGTCCCTGGTGCCAAAACGGTTGGGGGCCGCTGCTATAGATGCATCTGAAAGGCTGATGAAATTGTGGATTTCCATGAATTATATATACATTGAGAATATTATCTTATTGCAAGGATTCAGAATAAGACTCGACCTAAAATAACTCATATCTTCTAGGTACACATTGAAGCTAGAAGTTCAGTTAATTTGAGAAAAAAGACTTGAAAGTAACTTACAGTCACTCTGTGCAGTGACATTACTGCAGTGACATGTTAAATAGGCAGTGTGCCACAGTGCTGTTATTTAAGTGTACATGAAAGGCAATTTAAAGTCGTGTTTTTTTAAAATAATTGCTTGTGCCAGGGAGTCTGCGGCATATGGATACAATTATTATTCACAGCTACAGGAGAAGGCGTGTTCCAAAAATGAATGATAATGGAGGAATATTATATTTTTTGACAATGTAGCCATTATAACTAATGGAAATCAATTACAGGAAACGAAACAAAAGTTGAATAAAGAAGCCAGCAAAGTTGGGCTCAGGATGAATATGAGTAGAATGAATGTCGTGTACAACATGAAGCAGCATATCCTGCCCGTGTAAATACAGAATGTTTTTTTTTTTATATCCGTCTGTTGTCGCGCGTGCAGCTAAGTTGCGCTACCGTGAGTCGTACATCAGCGACACGCTGGAGCTGGAGCTCGAGACCCTGGAGGGAGCGCCGCGGTCTCACGGCGGCAGCGGAGGCACCGGCGACAAGCGCTGGTCGGGCCACTCGGGCGCGAGCCGAGCGAGCACGCATACATCGGGCATCGAGGCAGACACGAGGCAGCGTCTGGCTGACAGGGGCAGCACGGCATCCACCAAGCGAGGTGACGCGAGGACACTGCGGTTGATTGTGGAAGATCAGGATTGCCACCGTGGCATGGTGTGACGCTGAAAACAAAATTGTAAAGGCGCAGCCCTGCTGCAATTACTTGCTCAAGTCCCTGTTGGTGGAAGGTCCTCCACTAAGAGGGGCTCTAGAGAGCCCCCCCAAATTCCTTGGAAGATGTGGGAGTACCCATACACTTTACCCCACCGCGTGCGACATTCCGATTGACCAAACGTGGCAGATACATTTTTATGACTGGGTGGACATACGTGGGTGGGGGGGGGGGCAGATTAAAATCAAACTTGCCCAAGTTTCAATGGCCATCAGCAAACTTGCACTGACCAACATAGTGAAGTATGGCCAAATAAACCTCACAAACAACCCTCACGGCATGGAGAGGCCGTAACCCACCGTTATCGTCACTGTTTATTATTTACACTGCATCTCCCATGCAGTACATCCAGCGGTGGGCTGACACAAATGGCCGTACATAAAAGTTTAAAGTGGATTACGCGCACGAGAGGTGGGGGAACTATGCCTGCCGGTGGTAACGCAGACTGTTTGTTGCGTGCTCTGGCTCAGTTGGACTTGAAGCGGTGGAAGTCTCTGTTGACGAGCCACAGCAGATGGTTTTCAGTGAGGAGATGCACGACCTGCTGCCCAGCCTGCACTCTGGCCAAGGTGAGGTCAATCCCCGCGGGATGTGGTCTCAGTGGCCATCTGCTCTCCATTATACTGTGCGCCTTTCTTTCTGGCCAGCAGAGAAAGTGCTCTGTGCGTGTTATATCAAAGTCACTTTCAACAGGATTAATGCCAGCTGAGAACATGTACAGTATATATTCATGCTTGATTTTTTTCCTCTGACAACAAAAACACCTTTACACTTTTCCTGATGGAGGTAAGCAATGGAAGACTAAGATAACAATCTGTGTTTGTGGTGGTAATGCACCAGTTACATATGTGTATATATATTTAAATAATAACAGATGTATTTCGATTTAAAGCTTTCGTGACTGCAAGGATTCATCTTCTTTGGTTCTTTCGGTAAAGTCACGTGACTTTACCGAAAGAACCAAAGAAGATGAACAGATGTATTGTTTGAAAAGGTCCTTTATTTTTTTTGTGGCTAATGTGTACTACTATTATGTGAGGGCAAATATGCTGGTGAACTTTCTTCAGAACTAAAATTTCAACCCATAAAAAACTATAGTTTTCTTACACATTCTGACTTAACCTGGAGGGAGGCATTCTCAATTTAAAGTTTTTAGTTATGTTTTTACGTATGTTGATGTTTCCCTAAAATAACGCTCACGACCATAATCTGTAGCAGTGTAAGAAAGTGTTCATTGCATACCGTTGAGCGAAGGTGTTTTTGGTAAATGAAGACGACTGTGGCCCTGGTGTGTGTCCGTGTGCCGGCTTGACAGAGATGATTGTGTACCAAGAAGACCTCGGCATCTTGGTGGCTCCGGCGGCGGTCGGGTCCACCACCGTCAAACTGCGTGGCACCAGCACCGACTGCTTGCCCCAGGTACGCAGCGCTTAGCAAAGGAGCACTGTGTTCCACAATTGGCACATTTATATTCAGATTAGTTTTTACGAGTCAATTTGACTTGTGTGTGCTCTCAATTTGAATAAACAATATACTTTCTAGCCCTTGGTGAGTCCACTACTGCATGGAGGCTGCCCCTACTCCATTGTCGGTTTTAGGAGTTTGTTTGAGCGTAATTGACCATGTGATCAATGTGGATTGGTGAAGAAGGGGGAACCCAGGACTGGTTTAGATATTGCCGGTGATGTGAGCTGTGGGCAGGAATCGAACTCATGCCACAGGGCTCACGGATCAGCGTGCGAACCACTGCACTATGTCCTCCGCCCCGTTTGCTTAATCATAACATTAGTATATAACGAGAGCGATGTTGACACACGTATTTTACATGTTGCATTTATTAAGTCGTGAGCCAGCTGATCAGAAATGGGCAGAGATAGATGTTGCCCCATTTTTCACCCAGGCAACCAGAGAGCTTATCACTAAAACAACAAAGATTCATACGGATTTCACGAAATCTTGTCAACAATTCTCATTGTAAATTGAAACATAGCAGTGACTGTTTCGATGGGCATGGGTTTCTGAAATTGTATACTTTAGTTACAGGGAGTTACTTAGTTTTATTTAAATGCTCTAAATACAATCTCATTTATAAATGCACATCATTGAAATCCTTTTAAAACATAACTATATTGAACCTCTGCCGTTACAGGGTTACACTTGTAATTAGCATTTTATCACGCTGTCATGTCTGTTATTGATAGGCAAACAGCAGCGGTGTAACGTGGGTTGGCATGGGTCCTCATAGCAAAACAATTAAATGGCCCCCCTCTGAGTAGTCCAGCTCCTGGGCCCATGGGCCCTGGTGCAGTTACACTGCCTGCACACTCAATATCCGTGCCAATGATCGATATATTTCTCCATTCTATTATGTCGAATTTTCTTATCTCTTATCAAAATACTGCAATGCCACGTTTATGTATGTCATAAATATCCTAAATACCAATTTGTCAAATGACTACACAAGGTGTCGATTTGCATTCTGCATTGACAAGTGGTTCAATGATGACAATTATAAGTACAGTCCTTTGTAAATCCACTGCTGATGAAGTCCTTGCCAGGCCATGTCGGTTTTTGGAGTTGTTTGACCATATTTCACCATGCTGGTTAGTTCAGGTTATTGAAGGTGTGCCATGGACCGGATCAAATATTATTCACCACTGATCTAGTAGTTGTGGTATTATACACTCTGGTTTTTTATGTGTGTCCCGTGGCTATTTGGCAGTACTTACATGAAAACATTTGATTTAAAAGAGGATCGTATTCACTCTGCTGTGAACAATCTTGAGACAATTAATTTCCCAAAGCCACATGCTTTTAATGGGTACATTCAGTACCTTTTAATTATATTTAGCCATAAAAATGTTGATCTACGTTGTTGAACAGTGGTGGGCATTGATTCTTTTTTTAGCTTTCAAATTCCAGAAATATAATTTACAACATACCTCAGCAGTAAACCAAAATGGTGGCTAAGACTCTCTGATTCGTAATATAACCACATAACAGATGTTATGCGCCTTTTGTTCTGGAGCCAGATACTATTTGTGCTCAAATGTTTTGTTTCCACAGAGCTCAGATCTTGTGCCAAAAGCCAGCTGTGTTTCTGAGCGGCTGTAACCAGACCATCAGAACTCAATGCCATTGATTTTATTCAGAAAATGAGATATTTGAAGAATTTAAGGAAGATCATCTTAAGAGGGGGGCTGCCAAAGGCAGGAAAATGCTAAATTGAGGATTTTAAAAAGTGAACAAGAAATCTGGTTCTGAAGAAGATCTCAAACATTTTTACCTTCCCTACAGAAATTTTCAACATCTGTGTTTGTTGTTGACAAATAAATATAAAGTATAAATAGATATAGATTATTTTGAAAAACGGATACCACATACATTGAATGTAGGTTAAAATGCATACACTAAAAACAAACAAAAAATGCCCAATCATCCACGACCGCCTTAAATATCAATTTTCGCTCACCAGATAAAGTGCATAATTTGCTTATTTTATATTAATAGGTTTTTTTTTATTTTATTGTTTCCCTTCAACGTGACTTTACCGAAAGAGCTAAGAATACAAGGGATCATGTTTGCAATAACCACAACACAAGTAGTCAAAATGCAAACAATAAAGACAACTCTGATATTAATATGCACTGTCCTTGAATTTGATTGGTCCACACCCGAGACGGCTTTTGTTAGAGCCCAGTCTCCACTGGTGTTGGACCAGAAGACGCCAAAAGGCGTACAACTAAAAAACAGCGCACTATCAGAGTATTGAGAGCTCGGGGTAAGCACTTACATTATGAGACCTCCCTTGCCAGTAACAAGATATAGTAATAGTTTTTTACCCTTTTATCTGGCGCAAAAACTGACACTTTTATACAAGGGATCATGTTTGCAATAACCACAACACAAGTAGTCAAAATGCAAACAAAAAAGACAACTCTGATAATATGCACTGTCCTTGAATTTTACTTATTTTGCTATAAATGCAACTTAACGCGGTCCACGAACCCCGCAGCTCATTTTTCTTATTAATATTGCGACTCATTACCTAGATCAACTAACAACTGAATATTAATTTTGAAGTTTGGAGGTACGCAGTTCAAGCTAACACAACAAATGAGCGTGTGATCTCTTGACGGAAGAGGCATCCGCTGACGAAAAAAGTTCCTTCTGGCGTGACCTGGACAGGTGGTGACGCGAGCGCCCGAGCCACGTGTCTCGAGCGACCGACACAGCCAGAGCCTGGACGACGTGCGGCTCTACCAGGGCGATCGGCCCCTTGCGGTGGCCGTTGACCCCGACGTGTCCCAGAGCTACACGTTTGGCTGCTCGCTGCAGGGCGGCAGCGTCACCGCGGCCGGTTGCCACGGGGGTGGCGGTGGCGGCGGATACCACGCCGCGTCGAGGGGGGAGAGGCCTTCGGACAAGTACGGCTTTGGGCCCTTGCACCAGCCGTGTCTCGTCAAGCGCGCCAGCAACTGCCTCTCGCTCGACTTAATTGGTGGCGATGGTTTTCTGGAGTTTGTGGTTTGACTTGATGCGTTGGTGTACGCTAAATGCGTTGTGGATTTATTTTGTGTCTAAAGGCCACTGGCGTGTAAGAGTAGACCAGAATACCCTCCGGAGAGGCTCTTTAGAGCTTCCTCTCATGGAAGTCCTTCCACCACCAGTGGCATAAGCGAGAAATTGCAGGGGCTTCACCTCTACCTAAATGCCACTGCATCTCGAATATCTGTATTAAAGGGATGGGGCTGTGAAGCAACAAACAAATGTGATGAACAAAGAGGAGTTTTTTCTACAGTATCTTATGAAAGAAACTAAAATCAAACTTGCCTATTTTGAGCAAGTTTGTACACATTCCGATTTTTATAATAATTATAGGATTTTAGTGTAGAACGCAACTCTCCTGGCAGTTTTGACACATTTTTATGGTAATACATAAAAGCCAGACTTAACTTGCAAGTGAAGTATAAACACACTTAATGTTTAATAATATTTATACAAGAGTACATAAATGTGGAAAAAATAAATACATATGGGCAACGCGTGGTGTTAATTTGCAATTACAAATGAACTCAGAGTATGTACGCTTGATTATATTTGGACAAAGTACGTATTGATATTAATTGTATTTATTTACATGCTGATACCATGACATTACTCTTAATTATTTTAATGATATACATGTCTGTATTAGAGTGGCTAGCGTTGAGAGGTGAGATTATTTTTTTCTCCTTTAAGCACTAGAAGTGTAAAATATTTGCCCAATTGTTCGGAGCAACAAATGATGCATGCTTTGATGCACATGGTAGCACAATGATGGGTTCTGCTCCAAATTGTCAGAAGAATGGCCAAGTTGAACGCTATTTCATGCAGCGTTATTTTCTACCAAAAAAAATCAGTAAAAAGTATTTAATTTCTACCGAAATATATATCCCACAATTGAAATGTAACTTCACGAGGCTGCTTGTTTGTGGGGTGAAGATGAGAACCTACAGCAACCTTTACCTGACATGGATTCATCAACCCAAAATCAAGGGATTGTTGTATTTATAAACTTTACGAACAACTTAATTCGTGCCAAGTATTATTCTACCGTTAATTGTAAATACAATGAAATGCAGAGGGAAACATTGACATGATACATTATACATTTATTTCCAGAAGTAATTACGTGTATTGTGCATTCGTGGAATGTTCCTGTGGTACTGTATTTACAAATTTGCCAATCATGAAATAATATTTTCCCAATGTCATATGTGCGCCACCTAGTGGCGTGTGTATGTAATGACACGTGGTGAACATCTCTGGTGCAGATAATTCGAAGAAAACAACACTCCTTGAACGCATGTAACGGCTTCGGGTGACAAATGTATCTAAAGCCTTTACACAAAAAGGTAATTTTGTTAACAGCGCGTAGTGCTGAACTCTACAGCTCACTCGCGATTAATTGTTAACCTTCATTTGAGCAGGCAGGTTTGACACATTCCTAAACCCCATGTTATTCCATGCCATTGCAGTCTGGCAGAAAGAAGCACACTGCCACTTCATCCAATGAGTGGCTGCATTCTAACCTTTATTCAACAAAAGCACAGACTACAGTTACTAGCAAAATGCCCCCCATGCTGTTTAATTCACAATCAAAATCAGCCGTGATCGATTCATCGCTGTGCTCTTTGTTTATAGGTCACTTGTAGCATTTTCATCAGTTGTGCACATTTCAAATGCATGGTTATTTATACACGAAATACTATTTATTAAATCCTGATATAAATCGATTTAAGCTGTTAGATGCTGTACATTTTGCTTGAAATACCTATATTGTTACCAACGTGTGCCAAAATATTCAGCACTTCCTAATGTGTACATTTAAACTTTATAAAACAACATACTATGAATGCAGTACAGTCAGTTTAAAAGAATCATTCGTATGCCTCGAATAAAAATAGGCGTATGAAATAATGATCTGGCTCCCAAAGGGGTAATGTATTTTATAAATACTCGCCACAATGTTTTTAAGACTGGATAAATAAAAATAATACCGTATAGCTTCGGAAGACACCGCCAAGCTATGAAAAAAAATCGAATTTGTAAATTACAGTAATTATTTTGGCAAAAAAACTAATATAAATAAGATGCCTGATGTTTTTGGCTTACAGGTATCAGTAATTACCATGAGTGTAATTTCTGAAGCGTTAACATTACACTGTTTCGTACAATAACCTACAGCCATTTGTCAATCTACTGCTGGATGCAGGCCTCCACGTGTTGGTGCAACTGCCCTGTATCATGGTATATTTTTATCACACTACTTGAGGATGCGTTATTTTTCCAAAAAAATACTTATAATCGATGGAATTGACATTTTGACGCTATTCAGCTTTAAAAGTAAAGAAGGGACATGTTTTGTAAACACTGTCAACGGTTTCTCTTTCTCATCATGTTCCCTCCAGTCTTGACTTGTTCTGGAATTGTTTCACCGACCAATCTTGGACTCATCGTTCATTCCGTGGCCCATCGAATACGAATGCCAGACAGCAGGAGAAACGGAGATAACCCGACGGTAATTTGAGCGGAGGGAAATCTCTGTAGAGCTTGGACTCAAAAGTAGGAATTGCCAGCTTTGGCAAACCCTACTTTTGGAGGGTTTCAGAAACCCTGAGAGAACCGGCCAGGCTTCCTGTGTATGCCGGGTTGTGTGCGTGTGTGGGTACGGCCATTTGAACAAAGTTTTGAAATGTGACCAACGTAACCCTGTGAGCAGTTTCCCCCCCCCCCCCCCCCAGAACATTGACTTCTGGTAACAGTATTTTCAACTTGTCAACAAGACCAACTGTATTTCAAATGTAACATTTGTAAATTACCTTTGTATTACAGCACCACTTTTGTAAGTTATAAGTGTTCTATTATTATTAATTCATTTACACTTTGCAATTATTAAGACACTTGGCAATTGTTACTGTTATCGTTTGTCAGCGTCCACTATGCAGTCGTGTAACTATGCAAGCATTGTGTATACAATCAGGTTCTTGCAATTGCAGTGGATTCACATTTTTAAAAGTTAAGAAAAGAGTTGTTAAATCAATGTGATGGTATTATTGACTCACTCGGTGGAGCGGCTATCGAGTGTGCGGCCGATGCACCGCCAACGTGGCCCATGGACCAGAGGGGCCCCAGGCACCGAGTTGCCAGTGAGGGGAGACATTGGACAGGAGTTGGGGGAGGGCGTTTCATCCTTTGCACAAGGGCCCATGTCAACCATGCTACGCCACTGGGTTTCATTATAATATGACAGTAGTTGTGTGTTTTGTGTAGAAAGAAATGACCAACAATAAGCTTTGCTGTCCGCGTGTACTTTCCAATGGAGAGACGGTGCTTAAAATAAACTTATCCTGTGTAACTTAAGTCTCGTCCACGGTCCATCTTTCTCCTCTCACCATCTGAGCACATTTGTGGTTCCAGTATTTACTGTTGTTGACACTTTCACTGAACATCGAGTGTCGCCAATACAATTATTTTTATTGCCGATATGACCTTGGCTTTTCATGATTTAGTTTAGTTTACCAAAAGCAGGACACATCCCTCGAAGGAATCATGTCTGGTGCTTGAGACTAATGGTGGAGTGGTAGCCATTGAAGGGAACGCAATGATGCTCACCACAAAGCGTAACTGCACGAGAACGCATGATTTCAGCCGTAAATGAAAGACATTGATTCAGTGTGTGCACCCCTCAACATAGACGTCAATGTGGCTGCACACGGTGTGTTATATTTACCTTTCCCAATTCATGTATAAATGCCATTCTTTATCAGCATTGCTTAACTCAAACAGAACTGATTCATAACCGGACCGCCCCCCCCCCCCCCCCCGTGGCTCAGAAAACTACCCCTGCCAAGTCTTGAGATGACAATGCTTTGTGTAAGTTAAACTAAGATGGTCCTTCAATTCAGCCATTGAGAGCGATACATTTTACAAATGGTACAAAGCTGTAGTTTACTGATCGTCATCTTCAGCCGTCGTCAATCCACTGCTGGATGCACGTCTCCCCAAGCTGTCGCCACCTGTCAGGATCCTATGATGTACAATCTACCCAGCACCTGCACGAGATTTCATTCCATATCTCCATCTTGTTTGTGGGTGAATGATAAATAATAGAACGCACAAAAAGCCATTACTTGCGTATCATTTGTATACGCTTGAAATAAAGCAAATACTGTCATTTACAAGCGGATACGTTATTTAACAATGGTTAAGCGGGAAAGGACCCTCAATAAAAGTGACTTTCAGACACGGGGTGCACACTGCCCAATGATTACGCTTTTGTCATTCTTCCATCTTCAAAGTAGGGATTCTGCCACGGTGTTAGGGTGAACACACTGGACTTGCAATGCAGAAGACGCCCATTCGATCTCCTGGTGCGGACGTTGAAGTATGGGATAGTTTCTTAAATCGCCGTTTGGCCTCCCGGAAGTGTAATTGGGTGTTACTGGAGTCAGGCGATCGGCAGCTTGCGTTTGGTGCGGTAAATTGTGAACACTCCTACATTTTCCAAGACGGCTGGCTAGTATGACAGCGTAGGCAAAATGCTCTCTCGACGGATATTGAGAGCTCCCTCTGCTAGCAGTGACGTGAGCAAGCAATTGCAGGGCTGCTCCCTTACATTAACGCTGTCTCAACAGCAGTGCTACTGACAATGCAGTGCACACTTTGGTATGCCAGAGAAACCTTTGAGTTGTATTTTTTTATTCACCTCCAACAGTTTCTGGCGATGTCACAAATGATTTTCCTATCTGAGAGAAGATGAAAGATTTCCAAACCACACTTTAAAAAAAACCCTTTGAACCCAGCTGGATTTTGGGCACACAAAGTTCGTAAAAAGTACTTTGTTCTTTTTTGGCAAGGCTATCGGAAAGTTAGTCAGCCTTTCACATTTTGACTAGAAGGTTAAACGCGGACACGAAATGTGCCTTTGAAATTTGTACAACTTTACCTAAAGTGCACAGCGTGTGTTGTACAATGCTACATCTCCATTGGTTAAATTGCAACGTTTGAGTTTACACTTGGTGTGCTGACAGATTTGTCGAGACAAACTGCGCGATAATTTGATGAGATTTCAATTTACATTGTTTTACAGATGCTGCCATCTAATTTGAAAATCTCGTTTGGCTTGAACAGCAGAATCTTGAATACTCTATATTGTCATGTAAATTAACACAAAATCTCAAACGTGAATGCGTTGGGTTTATGAAGCAAAGCAACCAGCTCGTAATTAGGCACGAGGGAAATTTGGATAGAAGATACCTTTTATATACATCAACAATGTGAAGTGGAACCAATTTATGTTGACTGATTACCGTGTGTGAAATTGTCCACACCTTGAATTGATGACATTTTAAACATTTCATAAAGGGCGTGTTGCATGTGATAAGGGCGTAGTAGGAGAACATTTAGCGTGCACAGGAGCGTATAAACAAGTCACAATTCTTAAGACGTGGTTTTATCAGCCTTTTTTTGGCTGCTACTGCCCATCTCCCGGGAGTTTTACAAATTCATGCAATACACCAACCCATGTGTCGGAAGTCCTGGGCCTTAGGTGTTTGCAACCATAACAACAATAACAACACAATTTCTGGCACAACACTGTTGTAATTAGTTTCGTGAGGCAAATGCAACAGTGTTGCAACTCAAATACCGTGACACAAAAGTTACGCCTATCCGTTGTATGATTGTAAGCCGTTGTCCCACGGTGATAGTGTGAAATGGTAGAACGGATAAGCGGCACAAGACTCCTAAGTTGAATCTTGATTTGAAGCTTTCGTGACTGCAGGAATCCGTACTCTTTGGTTCTTTCGGTAAAATGACTTAGGTATGAAAATAATTGATCGCGACGTTTCGATCGCAACACAAGCAATCGTCATCAGGTGGGACAACCACAGCAAGAACAAACTGTTGAAGTAGGCGCCTTCTTCAGAAGTTTTTTTCTTGCTGTGGTTGTCCCACCTGATGACGATTGCTTGTGTTGCGTTGTGATCGAAACGTCGTGATCTATTATTTTTCTACCTACGTCACTTGACCGAAAGAACCAAAGAGTATGGATTCCTAAGTTGGTCAAATGTAAATGTTTATCAAAATGTCGGCCTCGTTCCCGTAAACTGCATATCATTGATATCAATAATTTATTTAATGTGCTAGTCTAAGAGGAGTTCTCCGGACATGTATGATTTCTGTGCCACAATACACGTTGCTTTTGAACGTGTGATTAAGTGGGTCAGTGGACAGCGTTGACAGATTAAATAATTAATCACTCCACTATAAGTACCATTTGGACAGAAAATTTAATCCATCACCTCCTAAAAGTGTACCCATATTGATGTGAGTTTTTTAAAACTTTGTTTTGTTGTTGCTGTGGTGCTCAAGCGTAAAATTGACGGGAAACTGACCGCACCAGATCATCCGTGCAAATGTTTTTAAACATTGGCTTTGCTTGTTTAACTTTGCTTGGCTAAGAACTCACAGTGCGTGTCACAGGTGTTGGCCAAACATCCCAATGCAGGACCCTCGTGAGAAAATGAACAGTCTTTGGGCTCAGTATTACTTTCCTGGGTAAATAGGAAATTATTATTATAATTATTATTATGCACACAGCGTTGGTGTACGATGCTATTTCAGGAGTATTTTGCTGTTTTTTCCTGGATTTTCTGTTTGCACAGTCACATAATCACTATAAGATGTTTTTCTTGTTCATGTTTTTTCTTTTTGTTTGTTGCGGTTGCACCCGATTCAAGAGCCGAATGGCTCACAGGGCTATACCAAATAAATGGAAATGGAACTATATCGTTGACATCGCTTATTTATGATGGTCACCAAGTCCAAATTGACATGGTATCGGTGTAGTTGTGCATGCACTGACAATCCTGTGGGGACACCTAGCGGCCACGGCGGGGTATTGCGGCTTGGGGGCAAGCGAGAGCAACACGTTGGGAGGGGGCGGTTGGTCTGGCACAGCCCCTTTAGGGGCCGTCCATAAATGACGTCACGCACCTAGGAGGGGGGAGGGGGTCAAACATTTGTGACGAAGGGAGGGGGTTAAGAAATGTGACGTCACATAAAAAAGCGCAACTTTAAATAAATATAAACACGTTCCACTTAATTAAATAGACTTTTTAACAAATGTTTTCTCCTACAAGATCAGAGTGCAGCGGCACATTAGATACGCACTACAATGGCAATAGTTTAAAGCGATTTGAAGCATGTTTTATTGGGGGGGGGGGGGGGGGGGCAGAGCTTTGTGACGTCATATTTGAGGGGGGTCTGACTTTTTGTGACGCCGTGTGACGAGGGGGGGGTCAAAAATCGTCCAAAATTGCGTGACGTCATTTATGGACGGCCCCTTATGTCAATCCACTGCTGGATGAGGGACTTTCCCACGCGGTGCGGATCGTGACGTCTGTTTGACCATACTTCACCAGGCTGGTCAGTGGGGGTTTGGTGATGGGCAAGGTGGGGGGGGGGGGCTAAGCATTTTATTCGCCATTGATTTTAGCCGTGGATAGATATCAACCTAACACGTGACTGGGTATATTGAGCATTGAGCTCATCACCACTCTCACTTTATTGAGCCCATTGGCGGGATGAGGTCTTCCCCCACGCGGTGTAGGTAATGGTTGTTGTTGTTGTTTGACCATACTTCACCACGATGGTCAGTGCTGGTTAAGTGACGCTGGGGGGTGGAGACCCCTCTGTAGGAAGCAGAAAATGAGAATGTGGATGAAAAAAATTTCAACTTTAAATTGAAACACGAATAAAAGTAATGATTTAAATTCAAGCGAAGGCCTGTTGAGACGTTTTTTTTCAAGAAATAATTGTGTTGAACAATTTACAACAATGATTAAAATCCCGGAATGCTACGTAAAACAAAACATTAAAGCGTATAAGATCAGAGCCAATAAAGATTCATTTGAGTTAAATTTAGAGTCAGGTTTTCAACAACAGACTAAAACCTACAGAATGTCGGTGATTGTGCGGGCAGTGTAATGGTTAGCGCGCTGTGCTACGAACCCGGCGACACCAGTGACGATTATCTGAACCGGTCTGGGGCCTCCCCTAGGTCGACTCAGCCTCAAATGTGTAAAAAAAACATTGCCACGAGGGACACAAAGGCGTCCGGGCGTCGTGCTGATCACCCAACCCCACGTGTGCCGTTTCGGCCTTCATTGGTGCTCGCTAACACCACTTGCCCCAATAGTCTGTTAAGACTTAACTGGGGGATGTTCGTCTTTGGAGCATAGACCTGGGGAACATAATACGGCACAGCAATGGATTGTTCTGCACTCGCATCTGCTGCCCACTGCGTAGCCCCTCAGCCTGACACAGCTGCTTAGCTTCTGAGATAAGGGATCGGGGGCGTCGCGGGTGATTTCGTCACTAAAAAAAAATATTTCAACTGCTGGATGAAGGCCTTACTCCGGCGGAATGCAACAATCCATCTCGCTCCTGCATTGCTCCATCTCTCCTCGGTGGTTATTCCGGTCGAGATAAGCGTTATTGCGCACGGAGATAATCATGCATATCTGCGAGCCACACATTTACAAATGTAATAAAACAGAAAACAGACCGCAATATTAACAGCCACATCAACGCACTTCGAAACTAAGCGGTCGGCGATTAGGACTCTCGGTGGTCATTTGCGCTTCTCTCGTGTCCGCATTCGATACAGCTACCATAAAAGCCGTATCATGCGCGCGTCTGGGCACTTTAGAACCAGCAGAAAGGCATTATAAGTGACCTTTTTAATGGCTAATTTTCAACGGCTACAATTGCATTTTTCACAAAAGCAACACTTAGACCGACCGCCGCGAGGATACCGAGTATCTCGTGTCCTGTAACGATGAGCCGCTGTGCGACTGGTAGTGGGAATGCAAGAGAGAGGTGAGTGTCACCGGCAGTGAGATTGGACGACCCTTGGTCTCTGTCTCCCGTCCCGATGGTTGATCAATCCGTCCTGACCGACACGACACGGGGAGGGCATTCACCCAAAAGCGTATTGACAAAGGCCTACAATGGTTGTATGTACTCATCATCATTGGCCATTCTCCATTTACTGCTGGATGAAGGCCTCCACAAAGCCCGTGTCATCTTTTTCGGTCTTGCGATGCAAGAATCAATTTTCGCACCTGTACATGGTTTCATCCAGAAGTTGCTTAACAAAGAGCTGCCAAGTAACGCATTATAACCTTGATTTGAAGTTTTCGTGATTGCAGAAATCCATAATCTTTTGTTATTTCGGTAAAGTTACGTGGGTATAAAATAAATCGCGTTTCGGGCGCAACACAAGCGTCCGTCATCAGGTGGGAAAGCATTAGAACTCATTATAATTAACACGACTGTCTTCACGATTTGGTATACACCCGGTTTAGTCGATCGTCGGGCGAGTCGCGTGTGGTGGGGTGAAGTGTGGGTACTCGCACCGAGGACACACCACCCTCTAGACTCGAGGGGGCCTTTAAAGAGTTACCTGTAACGTACGGCCTTTCTGCAAACAGTAGCGTGAGCAAGAAACTGCAAGGACGCACCTTCAGCTTTGTAACGTGATTCACTATGCGAAGTTATATCCGAGAGACCGACCTTGCTGAAAGAGAGAGAAAAACAAACGAAACCCTCTTTTGAAAGGGATAGTTGGGCAAATGACACCGTTACAAGTTCAGAGTGACACAGATTGGGTCGACCTGTGTCGTGGGGCAGGAGCTTGCAACCTCAAGCGCACAGTGAGTTTCTTGTGCCGAAGGGGTTACGTTAATGAGATGGCGATTGAGAAAATTACCTTGTGTGGAAATACAAACCGACTCCGGCGACGAGGGACCCACGTTACAATGCGGCAGGGATGCTGCTGCATTGTGTAATGGTAAGGCACAATGGCCTTGCAATCAAGAGGTCACCAGTTCGATTCGATCTCCAGGCGCGGCAGTTGAAACAATGGACACATTTCGTCAAATACTCCCGCCTATGTCCAGATGTCAGAATTAATGGGCACATCGCAGTTACGTTGAGCGGTTGGTCGAGTGCGGTGTGTGTGAAGTGTTGGCACTCCCACTTCTCCCAAGACATCTGATCAGCGTGGAAGAGTGGACCAGCAGTGGCGTGAGCAAGCATTTGCAGGGCTGCATCTTACATCCAATAACTATACTGCTGACTTACTCTGGTGGTTCTCCATGAGTATCAAACAAACATATCCAAACGCCTAGCGCCAGTAATTAAAAACGATCACTCAGTCCCATGGAGGGGAGGCTTGTAATGCCAACGCATTCATGCATGCGTAGTGGCACACGGAAAACAGTCCATTTAAGCGATCGTAGTACTCTTAAAACAGATTTCGCTAAAAAGTTTATTATTTATTATTATTAAAGCAACGCAAACACCTTTCAAACATTTATAACCGGTTGTCTTTAGAAGATAACCCCCCTTTTCCTGATGACGACCGCTTGTGTTGCGATCGAAACGTATTTTTTTGTTATTTTCTTTAAACCTATCTACGTGACTTTACCGAAAGACCCAAATAATATAAAAAGCAACGCAAGTTTGATTTATGTATTTTTCGACTCATAACTCAAGAGTCTGGAGCGGGTGGTGCACAGCGGATCGCGCACTGGGTTAAGAACCCGGCCACCTGAGTGTCAGCACAGCGAAGATGTTCTCGAATGGTGTCTACATCGTACTATATCGTTACTAGTTTAGAAAAAAAAGTGTTGCTTGCTGGCAAGGAGCGAGAGAGTGACGGACGGATGGACAGATGCTGCTATATTCGAAACAGATTTTGCTGGATGGAGGGATGAAGGGACGGAGGGAGGGGAAGGGAGGGAAGGGAGGGAAGGGACGATCAACTGTAAAGGACGTTCGGGCTGATAGTAAACACTGTAGTAACACTTATACAGTTTTACATTGCTGTGAATATTATGGCCATCAATTGGCGGCATTCGGCAGCAATGGGTAGAATTTGACCACAGAGGGCAGTACGGGAAAGACGGATCTCTGGCAATGTTTCATGAGGATTATTCATTCGTGCCTTGCTGTACGTATAATGTGCATCAGGGGGCAGCAGGGGAAAAAGCAATGGGCAGAAATGGGCAGCACACGTTCTGTCGACCTTTTTCATGAAACGGAGGTGATGTAAAACAAATTGTGCATAATTGTACAACAAATAATACATTGCGTTACATGGCTGTGTACATTATGTGGCCAAACTGGCTCTCGCTACACTATTATATGTATGGTACTACATGTGATCGATTTAAAGTATATTTTCACCTTCCTTAAAATGCAATGTAAAATAGACAGGAAGGCATCATACTCTACTTGTTGGGAAAGTTTCAGTGAGCGATATGGTGATTCAACAACACCAAACAACAAGATTTGGGTCAAGGTATGTGGATACAATTATACCCTGAATCGATTTGTATAACATTTAGTGGTTCGACTGACATGGTTGCTTTGAAGAGTTTACATTCTTATGTTTGTGTATTACAGTACATAAATTGCTCGATAAATGGCATTGGATTTAAATAACGAGTGGTCAGCGTGCCAGTGCATAATCAGTGAGAACCTGTAGCGTTCCCCATCGGGACATCTGTGAACAAAGAGCTTCATAGCTCATCGGATTCCTCCTGCAGTATAAATACAGATTCTGATTCGGATCTGAAGTGGGGCTGAAAATGAAGCCCTGCACAACGATGGTTCGAGTTGAAAGGCTTCTGACACCCGCTCTTGGAAGCTCATGTAAGTGTAACGGACGAGGAATGTGCTTCGTGAACGCGTGTATTATAATTAACACGCAACACAAAGTTGCCCGTAAAGTCCAACACACACACACACAGGCTCTGGGTACAAGGGAGTTGTCTGCGGTCACCTAATCATAGCCGGCACGACCCACTAAAGGGGTGGGGTGTAGCCAAAGCTTCGCCCGAGGCCACCTTTGTCTCCCGAGTGCCGTTAGATTACCGTGGTACACACCGCAGCAGGTACTGATTTTAAATCTGAGTCAAGGGACCGGTCCTGATATCAACCGTGACCTGGAATCGATCTCGTGTTGCCGGGTTCGCAGTGCAGTGCACTAATCACTCCACCACCGCTCCCCCACACACGTACACGTGGACAAAGTCTTGAGAAGCCCCATTACATGACGCCGTAGCTAAAACCCACCGGCGATTTATATTCAAACTCGAAATGAAAGTGCGTTTGGGGAGGACACATATCGAAGAAGGACGATAATAATAACGGAGTGGCAGCGAAGAACGGAACGTGTCCGCGAGGTCGTCTAGCGGGAGAGACGGAGCGATGAAATCAGTTCCGTGTGCTCATGCTATCGGTGGATTTGTTACATCGCAGGATCGTTGAGAGGCTAGGCGGCTTGCTCCAGGCGTTCATCCAGCAGTGGTACTTGCCAGGAGCGGTGATGATGAATGTGTACCGTGGTGGAGGGGGTGTGGCCGGTGTGAGATATAATTGGAGTAAAGGCGATACAAAAATGTGCGTTAAAAAAAAACCAAAGAAAACGAGGACGTAACAATTTCGGGTGATGCCGAATTTTAAATTGCGCAGGAAGGCGGATCGTACCACCCAGCGGCTGTCAAGACCACTGCGAGGTGGCGGACGACACCGCTGGCTGCGCGCAGCTTCTCTTCAACGCGTTGGAGTCTCTCGCCTCGAGGATTCTCCTCGGTCGGCGCCCAGCCTCGCAATCGGCGGCGAAACGAAGACCTCTCCATTGCGCGCACATCCCTCCGCAACCACCCCCCTCCCCCCCCCCCCCACACATCGCAGCGTCGTCTTAAGCCACTCCACGTCACAGCTGCTCCGGGGAGAGAAGCTCTGAGCGTGGCGGTGAGAGGGGCTGCCTTGCCTGCGCATGCTGTTGGAGGGAACCTTGTCTTTACACACACACACGCTACAACACGGTAGCGGCCACGGCAGTAACAGTCTCGTGTGTGTCTCTCTCTCTCTCTCTCGAGGCTTGTTTATTTATTACAGCGTTTGTGTTATTTTTTCTTACCTGTTATTTTGTTTGTTGCTGGTTTGGGCAGCGGTTGACCAACCCGCGCGTGAATTGTCATCGGACCAGCGACGGAAGGGATTTTGGGCTCGCGAAACGTTTTTTTATTTTCTGATTTGCTGGCTTGCCTAGTCGCTCGCACACACACAGAGCCCGCATCTTCTTCACCCCAGAGCGCGAAGCATCCAGGAGAACGAACGAACGAACGCACGCGCGAATCGACTCATCTTGTCCCGACTACATACGAGCCAAGGGTGGGGGGGGGGGGGCAAGTGAAATTAATACTCTGCGCGCGGCTGACATAATAACCAGTTGTGCGTTCCTCGTTGCGTTACAAAAAAAAACAACAACCTGGGCGTTCGCCGCGTCTCCTCGTTTTTGGGACTCGGGGAAGAGAAGCCGACGCTGCCTCCCCAGCTCGGCAGGGAAGAGCAGGAGGCATAAGAGTGGATTTCGAGAGAGACACTTCCAGGGGGTCGACTTCGGTGTCGTCTGCGAGGAAGCTGTCATCCGCCGGCACCACCCCTCCACCTACCCGCGCACAGCGTGGAGGCGGCTGTCACGTGCAGGGTAGGTTAAACCTTTATTGTCGATGGAATCCATGAATAGCTTTATCCAGGTGGGTCTCCCCAAACCCCACACCCCCTCTTCCCACGTCGACTCTCCGATGCGCCGCTGCAAGACGCGCGTGTCATTATAACCAGAGGCGAGGCGATGCGATTGTCCCCGGGTGCGTTGGAATGCATCTCTAAGAATGATTTACTGTTTCGCCCAATCAGCAGCCATTGGGCAACACACACCACTCACGGCACCGGTAAAAATAGAGCAACGTCAGTCCATTGTATTCCTGAAAACACGGCGTAACTCCCGCAGTTGCATTGGCAAATATAGTACTGTAGCGGATTTTTTTTTTAAATATAGTGAACTCACAGAAAGCTGCCCTGTGTCGGACATTGTAATGAATGCTGGTCCGTGTTCTCCGGCTCTCATTTGTCAACTCGTTGTGAGGAAATTACATTTCTGTCCAAGCAGCCGGTAGTGGTGACAGCTCGCTCCCTTGCAAATGATGTTTATTGTCTCGACATCACACCAGCAGCAGTTGTATACGTGATATGTATTTATAGACTGTATAAATGCCGTAGTGTACTGTATGTGTTTGGTATATTTTTTTGTGTGTGGCAGGGTTCAGACTTTGGTTGGCTACTCCACCCTTAAAGGCACTTTGCCTTGCTCAACAGTCTTTGTTGAAATAATGCCTCATTGATTTACAGTATTCATTTATATTTCACAGGCAGGGTGTGTGTGTATATATAGAGTATATGACCCTTGTCATGTTATTCTACATGACAAATGTGTCCTCAACAAAACAATATATCTCGGATCAGCTGGCTCCATCAATTACAGTGGAAGAATGAGTGGGTTTGTATACAGAGCCATAACATTCTGTATGCATTGGTCTTTATTGCTGCACTATATGAAAACATTAACATTGCCAACGAATCAATACACTTGACATTAATGTGCCCCAAATACTTTGAGCCATTTTCAGTTTTTTTATATATATACAGTATATTGTTTTTTCTTCATGAAATACATCAGCTATGTCCCTGGGACATACAGAATGGATAAAACATGTGCTTAAGGATTATAATAATTGTGGATTTTATATATATAAAGTAATTATCACAGTTTTTGTAATGGGTACAAAGCTTTGCTTTGGAGCCAGGAGTGCAGAGGAAGAGGTACGCCACTTTCATGCTGGGTTTTGAGTGCCAATCTCCCCAAAGACCTCATTACCTCAGCAATCTCTCCTTCATCTCCCGAACCTTCATTTTCCATTTATTGTTCTTTAGGTTATTTTTTTTCATTCTCCAGTTCTTTTTGTTGTGTGTTTAAAAATATATATATATTTTAAATCATACCAGATTTATAAAAATTGAATAATATTCTTCGTCATGTGTAACTGTGCAATGAAATCAAATCGTTTAAATTGATTACTGTTACCGGTAACATTTCTTTAGCGCACTCGATCCTGTTGACAGTCTGTTTTTTACAAAAGCTACTCGTATACCTAAGTGTAGAACGCCAATAAGCCGAAACAATGAAAATATTTTTTGGTGAGACACAAAGCAGAAGATAATATGTGTATTATTTATATCATCGCATTAAATAAATAGTTTAAATTTGCATTTACTGGGGTCTCTGTTCTGGGGGATGCTTTATAACATGCACACGTTTTAAGAAATGTGTTGCAGATGTTTAAAATTGCAGAATTTTTATTTTTTACACTTAAAATCCTAATCCCCACAAAGTAGCTGCCACATCCACTAAGTTCATTGTTCCGATGCTTTTAATTCGTGTGAAATCAAGCAGATCAACGTTTTCATCCAAATATATTTTTTAAGCAATATAATATAATAGCATACCGGTATTGTACCTCACAAATCACCCTCGATTTGACCAAATGACCCCGATTGTGTCTGATCTTGTTAGATTTCAGAAGCCAAGCTGGGTTTACCCTGGTCAGCACTTGTATCGGAGTCTGGCGGCGACGTCAGATGTGGTGGGCGTGGGGGCTGCGAGACAGCTAGGGGAGGGCAGCAACAGCAATGGATTCTTAAGAGCTTCGGGCGTTTTACCCCCTTGTAAACATTACAGCTTATATCGTGGGCCTCCGATTTACTCCCATATGCCCAACGCCCATGAATGGAATTAGCGAAACATCCCGAGTGCAGGACCCTCCTTAAGAAGAGTCTTAAGACTCGGTGAGGCTTTCCTGGGTAAATGAAGAGGCATCTTTTTTTACGATGGGTGGCCGGAAAACGGATGGTTGCATGCTTTGCATGGCCATCTCTAGCACCTGCGGTGGAGGGCGTGGATTATTATTGTGTAATCTTGTGCAGGTAACGTTTCCGTACATCAGTTATACGCTTGCTGAAATGGATGCGATCGACCTGTCCAATGTTCCTTTCAGACGCAGCTTCATGCCTATCCAGGTGACGCTCGGTGTTCACGCCGATATCGTTCACTGCCGTGTGGTGTTTTTTTTTAAATGAAAAATTTGTGTCCCTGCCCTCCCAAAATTTGGCCAAAGTGAAATCGAGTTCGTGCACGTTGTGACACGAGCGTCGGCGTGAGTGTGGCAGAGGAATGCAGCAGCTGCTGCGTTGACCCACATACAACTTGGGTAATGGTACGATTGCGTGAATATTTAAAAGCCGGGCTTGTCAACCATTACTAATGAGTCTGCTGTATTATTTGAGAGGCATAAACTACTTTCTCAAAAACTTAATTAGTGACTATTATTCTGGTAATTGAAATTTGATCTGTAATGAGTGCTTGCGATCTTGTCACATCATCTTGTTCAGGGATAAAATAAAATAAAAAAGCCATATTGTAATGCGTTCTTATTTTTTTTTAGAAAATTGTATTCTAGAAAATTGTATGAAAGGCCTGGTCGGATTATTCGGGTATGAGCTAAACCTATGAAAAATGTCCACGTGATTTCCACATTCCACCTCCCATGTCCCAAAGCGGCTTTGCTCATGCTTTAATACAACTGCTCCTCCTCCATTCCTTAAACTATCATTCCTTGCTTAAATAACCCTCCACCCTCTAAGCCTGCCCTTGATCCACAGACATTGTAAAAAGAAGAGTGTTTTTCTCAGTGTAGTCTTTTTCCAGAGGCTCCTGCATTGGAATGTTTGGACAATTCCTTTCATGAGAACTTTATATTTGGGAGGAAATGGGAATACCAAAAATGATGAAATTCAAGAATCCATTTACTGCACTGTCATCTGGCTAACCCACAGCCCAACGGATTTAGGGGTTCCAAAGTGCTTGCATCACCAGCACGTGCGATATGGACAAGTTGAGATATATGACCTTAACTTCAGTAGACTATTGGTCACAGTTAAGTCCATCTCTCTGTAATATGAAATGGAGTTGGGGAAGGCATTTGTTAGTTGCACGTGTAGTGATGTAAATTGAGTCACTATGGCGTCTAGCGCCATTTATTGTAAGTAGAGTGGTACTGTGCATATTCTTTGGGTCTTTCGGTAAGAGTCACGTAGATGGGTACAAATTAATAAAAACACATATAAAATAAGCCAAAAACTACGACGTTTCTATCACAACACAAAGCGATCGTCATCAGGAGGAAAGAGGGGGAAAGCTGCTAAATGCCGACTGTTTTGTAGGTTTCAAATGGGCGTAGTCCGAGGGTCATAAATGAAGTGGGCGGGGCTAGTGATGTTAATGTGAGAAATTAGCATAATGTTAATGTGAGAGATTAGCGTGTTAATGTGAGAGATTAGCGTGTTAATGTGAGAGATTAGCGTGTTAATGTGAGAGATTGGCGTGTTAATGTGAGAGATTAGCGTGTTAATGTGAGAGATTGGCGTGTTAATGTGAGAGATTAGCGTGTTCATGTGAGAGATTAGCGTGTTAATGTGAGAGATTAGCGTGTGAATGTGAGAGATTAGCGTGTTAATGTGAGAGATTACCGTGTTAATGTGAGAGATTAGCGTGTTAATGTGAGAGATTACTGTGTTAATGTGAGAGATTAGCGTGTTCATGTGAGAGATTAGCGTGTTAATGTGAGAGATTCGCGTGTGAATGTGAGAGATTAGCGTGTGAATGTGAGAGATTAGCGTGTTAATGTGAGAGATTAGCGTGTTAATGTGAGAGATTAGCGTGTTAATGTGAGAGATTAGCGTGTTAATGTGAGAGATTGGCGTGTTAATGTGAGAGATTAGCGTGTTAATGTGAGAGATTGGCGTGTTAATGTGAGAGATTAGCGTGTTCATGTGAGAGATTAGCGTGTTAATGTGAGAGATTAGCGTGTGAATGTGAGAGATTAGCGTGTTAATGTGAGAGATTACCGTGTTAATGTGAGAGATTAGCGTGTTAATGTGAGAGATTACTGTGTTAATGTGAGAGATTAGCGTGTTCATGTGAGAGATTAGCGTGTTAATGTGAGAGATTCGCGTGTGAATGTGAGAGATTAGCGTGTGAATGTGAGAGATTAGCGTGTTAATGTGAGAGATTAGCGTGTTAATGTGAGAGCTTAGCGTGTTAATGTGAGAGATTAGCGTGTTAATGTGAGAGATTAGCGTGTTAATGTGAGAGATTAGCGTGTTAATGTGGGATCGGAGAGCCACCAGAGGTGGCCACGTTGGCGCGATAAATTCAACCTGTTGATGTGAAATCAGAGAGCCGAAGCCACGGGGAAAAATAAACATTTTTAACATCGGAAGGTGGCAGGATGGGAACATCACAGCCAGTTATGACTTAAACTGGTTGATGACGTATTTCCAATGATTGCTGAGTTTGTACCCATCCTCTCGGTTGAAATTGTCTGTGTCTATATATGGATGGCTTCATGAACTAATATTTGTTGATAGCCAATGGGCTTACAAAGTACCTTCGTCTTAGAGAAATCTATTTCGTGTGAGCCCACCGCATTAAAACAATGATCAGCCACGCCCGATGTGTTGGTCCTACCGTGGCTGATCATTAAATCTGCCTCATGCTCACGAACATGGTCCGAGACATGTCGCTTAGTTTTC